CATCTATAACGTACTCCATCAGAGCAGCATCTTCAACTTTCCCATGTAATGCTATNAAAGCCTACAAATAGTATGAATTCAAAGCAACCTTTCAACACGAACCAATTTTATTACCTACTTTTAGAACACCATGTCTAATGTAAAACTAAAAATACCTACTACTAGTAGTCTAGACCTATGAAAAGGATATACACATTTCCATAAAAAACCTTAAAGGTGTTCTAAAGGAATTAACGAGTTTTAAAACCTTTTTCTATCGTGAAGACTTTTGTGTCAGATCTAAATCCACACGAAGCCGCAGTGAGAAGTTAGTCATTTAATAAATCAGATCCAGTTAACCCACCCAATTAACTCTTCAAAGTTTAATCGGTACATTTAGATCACTCGGATGATCAGTTTAACTNCTCCGCTACAGGTAAAGACAATTTTAATTTTAACTAAAATGCTTATTTTACTTCGAAATCTTTTGTTTTTATTTGAAATCTAACTTGTCTTTATCAAAATTACAAATCTAGAGCCATTTTCAGTTTTGTTGTTAACGAAGCGTTGAATGGCGCGCTCGGAGAGGCTTAGTTCAAACGATCATTGCAAACGTTGCGATAGGGATAGAGACATGCGATTTTTGGTTTTACGAAGGTAATACGATAGAAAATAATACAAAGTAATAAAAACCACCAGTTATAGGGGCATTTTTTGGAGAAATTTATCAAATAACCAAAAAAACACGAATATTTAAGCAGATTTTTTTCAAAAATTATCATTTTTTATTATTTGTTGGCCTTTTAGTATCGCCTGTTATTTAGCATTATTACTGTTTTTATTTTATCAGGATATACCGCTTAGTTTAAAAGTTATTACGTTTTCTTTACAATAAGTAATTGGAAGAAAAAAAATACTATAAATTTTTTTAAAAAAATCTCAAAAAAAATTTGACCTCTTTTTTGTCGATAAAAATAGGTCTAGTTTTATCTATTTTCATATGTACACTTTAACGTGACTCACACTGTATAATAAAATATTAAGTAAATTAAATTATCATATTTAGGCATTTGCCAATTTAGAAAATGTCATAACAAGAAAATTACGATGTAGGTAATTCGTATTGAATTTCCAAATCAATTCCATTTTATTACTTTAATATTGGTATTAATTTAAGTTTTGCCACCAGGATAAAGGTCATTGCTTATTAGGGTCGCAATGAATATTAATTTGATACTTTTCAAGGCTCAACTTTGAAAATGTTTATAACAATTAGGCCACTTAAATCAAGTTTCAAAGTGTCGAAATGGCATGACAACTCCAATAAACACTCTTGAGCAAGTACACCTCTGACCGTATGTAGAAATTGTATTTGCAATGAGCATCGTAAAAGGAGACGTACTTGTTAAGAAACCAGTTAGAGTTAATGACTCGGTGTCCAATCGTTTAGACAGTTAAGCACTAGCAGCTGTGAAATAGCTCAGTATATGGTACCTTAAGTATTTGTTGATGTGAAGGTATATTTTTAAACCATGGGCCAGTTCAGTTGTTACAGAATTGGTCTATCTCGCCTCAAGAGTTCTAGGCCTCAATTTCCAGATAAATGCAAGCTTAAATGTGCTTTAATCAAGTTCTGAAATCCAGCGTAATACCTAATCCAAATTATAAATCATATTCTTAGAAGTCCCAATATTATCATACGTATCTTATACGAGTAGTTTTATTCATATTGTATTGATTACTAGATATTTTTCCTGTTACACAGCATTTTCCTTAGAGACTGTCGATGTCCTTTTCGTTGGGTAAAGTCTTATTATAATCAATGAGAAATATCAATCTGATTTGTTACCGTCTAGTTAGTTACACCTTGCCTGCATAAGATACAATATTTTTCCTTATGTTTATATTGGTTAAATAGAAAATTAACCTTTCGGCAAAATTACCCTAATATTACAAGCTTTTTATTACTTTCTTATTAATCTTATCAGTCAGTAATATGAAAATTACCAAGCTTATTATGTAGTTACTTACCTACATTATAAGCTATTGCGTGATACTAGTTCATACAGTTAAGACTAGCAAGCCCTGCAACTTTGTAACAGAAGAAATTGTTACTAGTTTTCCAGAGTTATCGTTCAAGCAAATCTTCAAAATTCTCGATCATCAGGGATCATGCTACAAGTTGTAGAATCCCTGATCCCTAAGAAACTTATAAGTTGTAGCCTAGAATTGACGTTCTTATCTTACGAAGCAAAATTAAATTTACTTCATGACTGAATAGTAATCGTACATCAATTTGTTTTATTTTAACATTATTTTTCANCTTTAACTTCACAACTAATCTTGAGGTTTCCACCTTGTAATTGTAACTCTGAGAAAGCCAGAGGTCGCAGGTACAAATCCCGCAAAGGGCTAAAGTTTCAGTTACTAGAACTAAAGTTCTTAAACAGATTTTATGTAATCCATCTATTACTAATACCGATGTCTCGAGTCTTAAGCTAAATAACTTAAAAGCTGTGACTATTGAAAAAATAGGTACAGTCGACAGTGCATTAGACTTTTAGACTATACATTTCTGTCACAAAATAAAATGTATCATATTAAGTTGCGTTAGTGTTAAGCTTGATATATGCCGTCATAAATATGTTATATGCACTCGTGTATTAGTGTAAAGAATACAAAATGTAATAATAAAAAATTTCAATAGTAATCCGATTGTTTTTACATAGCCAAAATTATTTGCACGCTTATAAAATGAAGATTACGCTCCTTATGTAAGATTTTCTCGCAAACAATACATAATTGTTTGTAAATAAAGGTTCCATGAAGCGTTACGCGACGAATTATAGAGTCGATTTCGCGAACAATCGAATTCAATCGTCTCGATTGTGTGTGATCTTGAAAAAATTCTAACGAGTTATTTATGTATCAAGGATAAATAACAATATTTTGATTGCTCCGTTGCGTCATTCTTGTTTTTTGCCGATTCTGGAATTGAAAATATTATTTTCGATATAATTTATGCGCCAGACGACATTGAATTTCAGAATCTAAAAGAACATTCTAGATTTTTTTTGAAATTGAGCTTTGAGCCCGCTGTTCTGAAATTTTCCCCAAACCGCTACTAGTACGAGTGCCTTCCGTAAGACGTTAGTCAATCTTGCTGGATTTACCCCCGCTTGACAAGACTGTCTTCATTCCAAAACTCGTCATGGGATCTTCGACATGACACTCCAGCTTGCTATAAAATATCAACTATCACAGGGAAAGGTTACTTTATAATTCTATTCTTTTCTACAAAGAAATTTCGACCACACCTCTTCATTTCCATAGACCGTTTTTTAACAGTTTCCAAAGGTTGAAATAACTTACCTATGTAAAGTAACTAATCCATAACACAATGATCTTATGTAACTAAATGTGTTCTAACACCCTAGACGCTGGCTCAAAATAGAGTAGCCTTCGATTGTTGCAAAAAATCATGAAACGGTTACACAACGGCACAAGCAAGGTTAGACATTGTTACGTGGTCTAAACGAAGCTGGTGTCGATTTTAACGATAGTAATCGATGATCGATGTTTTGACGGTTAAGTGAGCAAATAGAGTCGCATTACTATCAGTTTTTGTTTTGTACATATGTAGTCCAGCCGCACGTTTAAATTAAGATCAAATTTTAATCAACTAGGTATTTATTTAATCTAATTAATTGTGTACCTAGTAGTTATGTTTATGTAGCCATTGATTTAATATCCATTAGATGATGTAGAGTAATATCTGCATATTTTATTTTAATTATAGTATGTTTTTGTAAGTAGGTACTTAAACAACACGAAAATTGCTGTGTTTATTTTCGTAAACGAAATTCACAACTTCGTCAAACACTTCATTTATACACAGATAATATTAAATAAATAAAATGATCATTTTTGGGCATTTGATAATTTAAATAATGTCATAACAAGAAAATTACGATGTAAAATTCGTATTGAATTTCCAACTCAATTCCTTTTTATTGCTTTAACCGTGGTATTAAATTTTAGTTTTGCCACCAGGATAAAAGTCATTGCTTAATAGAGGGTCACAATGAATATTAATTTGATACTTTTTAAGGCTCGACTTTGAAAATGTTTTAAGAATTAGGCCACTTAAATCAAGTTTCAAAGTGTCGAAATGGCATGACAACTCCAATAAACACTCTTGAGCAAGTACACCTCTGACCGTATGTAGAAATTGTATTTGCAATGGGCATCGTAAAAGGAGACGTACTTGTTAAGAAACCAGTTAGAGTTAATGACTCGGTGTCCAATCGTTTAGACAGTTAAGCACTAGCAGCTGTGAAATAGCTCATTATATGGTACCTTAAGTATTTGTTGATGTGAAGGTATATTTTCAAACCATGGGCCAATTCAGTTCTTACAGAATTGGTCTATCTCGCCTCAGAGTTCTAGGCCTCAATTTCCAGATAATCCAACGTTATAATACCTAATCCAAATTATAAATCATATTCTTAGAAGTCCCAATATTATCATACGTACCTATCATATACGAGTAGTTTTATTCATATTGTATTGATTACTAACTTGTTGTCTTTTTCCTGTTAGATACACATTATTTTCCTTAGAGACTGTCGATGTCTTTTTCGTTGGGTAAAGTCTTATTATAATCAATGTATAATATCAATCTGATTTGTTACCTTCTAGTAACACCTGTCTATTTCAAAATTAGCTTGATTTTAATCAGTACTAGTTACGTACTTACTACCTAATGCGTGCTACTAATTCATACAGTACTAGCAAGCCCTGTAACTTTGTAACAGAAGAAGTCGTTACTTTTCCAGACATTTATCAAAATTCACGATCATCAGGGATCATGCTAAATGTAGAATCCCTGATCCCTTATAAACTAAGTTGTAGCCTAGAATTGACGTTCTTATCTTACGAAGCAAAATTAAATTTACTTCATGACTGAATAATCGAACATCAATTTGTTTTATTTTAACAATATTTTTCAATTGTTTCAGCAAGTTCAAGATGGCGTAAAACACGGCGAAGATGCGGTGGTTCAAGAAAGGCGAGCCGCCTCGGCTGCTCGCCGTCTCGCCGGAGACCGAACCGCGGTCTACGCGAAGATCCAGAATCGGTAAGCTAATCCATATTCATTCAATAATAAATGCATAGCCAGTGCCACAATATTTTAAGCAATTACGACCCTTATCACACCAGACAGCCAAAGCCCAAATCAAACCTCACTCTATCTACCGAACGTCATAATATTGTTAGCATGTCATGTAGTAGTAGGTAGTACCACAGAATAAATATGTAATAGTAGCTAGAACGCTTGCTTGCAAGGATCGGCTGTAATAACCGTCTATAAATGCAACTGGGAGTCGAAATGGTCTTTATAGAGGTACATTATCATCGTCATCATCAGTGCTACGTTTTTAGGGCATTGAAAGTTACAACTTTTTATTTATTAGTTGTCCCAGTTTCCCATACTAAAAATAATCATTTATGAGTCCATCAAACAGCACAATAAATTGTGCTTTACTGTTTTTATCCACATTAAATCTTTTCCAGATAACAGTACGCATTTTGAGACTACAAAATTTTACAATGTCATACTACAGAAATACATAAAATAAGTCATTTCCATGTCAAAGTTCTGCTTTAGATTTTTTCTGATTCAACTCTATCTCTCAAACGACCTCATCATGACTTTATATCTTCTTTTTTCTCTACATCAAAAGTTTCGGTAAGCACCGTGCACTATCCATTCTATTCTATTACCGTTCTATAAATGACAAATGAATGTCACTGACTTAGTTTCTCCTTCCCAAAGACCTTCGATGTACAAAACACGCAATTAATTTGCTTTTTAGCACTTATTGCTGTAAATGGCGCTTTCTAGTGAGACTTAATCGGCCAGTTTACTCCGTTCTTTACACCTAAAGCGCTGTGTGTTGGCGTCTAAATGCAGGCAGTAGATTTAAGGACGGTCACAAATACCACCCACAATACAATTGTGCAGTTGCAGTTCCCTTGGTAATGCTGTAATTTTAAAGGTAGCTGTAGGAGGTCTTTTTAAAGAGCAAGCTTTAAATTTTAGCTAAAGAGTGTTGATTTTAATGTAACTATAAATTCACACTCCGAGATTATTATCTGTATACTATACCATTTCAATCCTGAACTGACCTATTAGAGTAAAATACGCTCATTAAGTTAATGTAAATGAAGAGGCATCAATCAAGCAGATAAGAACTCTATGCATCGAGTTAGAGCTATTGTTATGTTTGTTTCTTTGCCACTTTTACACTTAGATATTGTAAAAACCATGAAATCACATTATAAATTGAACCGTGCAGATTAGGCTAATGTTTGGTTGCAAAAAATCTGAACGGAAAAATACAATTGTATGTATGACACACCTTAATTTATCAAGTTAAGTTAATAAACAAAGCGCGTTTCAGAACAGTTTTAAGTTTATGGCGACATAAGACATTATAGTCTTTTCAGGCGATACCGCAGGCAGAATCTAGTCTGTATAAGATTGAACTAGTGACCAGTGTTATCAATTCCAATAAATTAATGCAGATATATTGCGTGCAGTCAGATAACAAACACTCGTAAAATACGTTTGACACCGGGTTTCATAAAGTCAAAGTTGAGTTATGTGCATGCGGACTACTTATTCCGAGCGCCTAAAGTAAGAAATAAACGTGGCTTGTCAAAACAATTGCTTTCGCAAAACAACAGGCATTTGGTTATAAATGGGTGCTCTGAAATTAATTTTGTAGTAGGTACGCAATACCGAAAAATTAATTAATTGTTAGTTATTTTGTGTTTATTATAACCCTAAACATATTTTTCAACTGGACAGTACGTATGACTGTATAACTGGACTGACTAATTTGGAAATGAACAAAGTAGGTAGGTCAAATAAAATACGTTTTTAAACAAAATATTGCCATGTCTTGTAGACAAAACAATTATTGTTTCTTTGTCTACATTTAACTTACAAGATGTCACCATTTATTTGGAGAGAAAGACAATTCATGAAAATTGCAAAGCAACTGAGATATCTAGTACTAATGTAAGCCACAATAATAAGGTTTTTCTTGAAAATTAATTTCAAAATCCTATTTAAAAATATGTTTGCATTTGCAATCTTTTTGCGTAAAACAATAATTAAAATTCGCCAGATACTTAATTTCGCAAAGTTAAGTCCATGAGAACATACAACTAAGAAGTGTTGTCAGCGTAAGTACCTACCACTTTGTTGGTGCAAGAGCTTTCCGAAAGGCAATCTACGAAGATATTTTTACAAAACTTGACTTATGAATAGGATAATGACTGAACTTTTAAGACTGCATAATTATGTCGTATTTTTTAGATAATTAAAGTTAACGTCTCTGTAAATTAGTGGACGCTAAATATTGTGTATTAAGTATTTTGAAGTGATAGGTACATAATAGAATCTATCGTATGACCTAGCCCTATTCTAGAAGCTAATTTTTTTTAAAGAATCTTAGTAATTTATTTCTGCACAAATTACTATAATAGTCCCGTTAGCCCCTTGTACTAAGCTAAGCTTTAATTTCATAACATAATTATTACATGCCCTTAACGTTGATTTATTACTTCAATTTAAGATTTTGATAAGTACATTTTATTAAACAAGACATTAATACAATATCCTTTTAAATCCCACTTAAAAAGGCTTTATGACAGTCACATATAAAATAAATAAAGGTAAATTACAAGAACGCAACGGGGAGTTACCCAAATCCGTTTTCATTAAACCAAAGAACAAAAACGTTTAACTGTGACACAAAACGTTTTAAGCGACACATTTGGCTTGGACATTTAAAGTGGTCAAAGGAGCATGACGCCTACTTATACAGTTACCGACTTGCTCATCTGCTTACTATTCAATCGGCATGTAATATCTTCGCACGCACTCATTAGGCATGACAACATTTTGTCGTAGTTAATTGATAGGCTGTAACTTGCGTTTGCGTAACAAATACGCAACGTGCTTTTGTTTGCATAAGAAAGAAGTAACACCCGTTCGTCACAACAGTATGAAGTCTCAATAGCGCGTGGTCCAAAAATAGTTTAGGAAAATGAGGTTGCGTTTATAGGATAATAAGATGATCAACAACAGCTATGCACAGAAATATTTATTCAGTTAGTGTTTTTAAAATAGCCTACAAAATCACAATGTCTTATTGTCAACAGGAAAAAAAATGGTACTTAGCGACATATAAAATCTAACTTTGCTATTTTTAAAGCCCAAAAAAGGACTCACATCTTATTGAGATACATAATATGACATTGAAATTGCACGTCGTTTTTCTTACAAAGATTTTTTTACCAAAATGTGATTTTCTTTTTGAAATATTCAAGACATTGCCAAAGAAACAGGAAAGTCTTGTAGTTATACCGCATTGCTTAATATGACGTCATTGTGGTTTTCAATTCTGTTCTACGAATTAACCACAGTTACATACGTTTATGGTAATATACTTACTTTCCGTACGTCCTTTAAGGATATCGACACCGACTAGTGACGGGAAGTGTCGCTTGATGCAAAATAAGGAGATAATTACTTGACTAGATTTAATAAGGAAGAACATTACTTACACCTATTGACTATTTTATTACGTGCATAGATGTAAATAAATATGACATGACATAAGTAGTTACCTCACGCAATGACGTAAGTTCCTGTTAGTGCGTGAAAATTAGGGGTGCGTATTCCCAAGTTGCATTAATTTTTAAATAGGTTACATTGATAGTTTATTTTATTTATTTATTTATTTNCCATAAATGACAAATGAATGTCACTGACTTAGTTTCTCCTTCCCAAAGACCTTCGCTGTACAAAACACGCAATTAATTTGCTTTTTAGCACTTATTGCTGTAAATGGCGCTTTCTAGTGAGACTTAATCGGCCAGTTTACTCCGTTCTTTACACCTAAAGCGCTGTGTGTTGGCGTCTAAATGCAGGCAGTAGATTTAAAGACGGTTACAAATACTACCCACAATACAATTGTGCAGTTCCCTTGGTAATGCTGTAATTTTAAAGGTAGCTGTAGGAGGTCTTTCTAAAGAGTAAGCTTTAAATTTTAGTTAAAGAGTGTTGATTTTATGTAACTATAAATTCACACTCCGAGAATATTGCGCCTTGACGCATGTGTTATTCCATTTCAATCCTGAACTGACCTATTAGAGTAAACTACGCTCATTAAGTTAATGTAAATGAAGAAGCATCAATCAAGCAGATAAGAACTCTAAGCATAGAGTTAGAGCTATAATTGTTATGTTTGTTTCTTTACCACTTTTACACTCAGATGTTGTAAAAACCATTAAATCACAATATAAATTGTACCTTGCAGATAGGCTAATGTTTGGTCGCAAAAAAAGTGAACGGAAAAATACAATTTTGTATTATTAAGTTCAGGTAATAAACAAAGCGCGTTTCAGATCAGTTTTTAGTTTATGGCGTATAAGACTTTTAGTGACAGTATAGTCTTTTGAGGCAAAGCCGCAAGCAGTAGCTAGTCGGTATAAGGTTGAACTAGTGACCAGCGTTATCAATTCCAATAAATTAATGCAGATATATGGCGTACAGTCAGATAACAAACACTCGTAAAATACGTTTGACACCGGGACGCGTAAAGTCAAAGTTGAGTTATGTGCATGCGGACTACTTATTCCGAGCGCCTAAAGTAATAAATAAACGCGGCCTGTCAAAACAATTGCTTTCGCAAAACAACAGGCATTTGGTTATAAATGGGTGCGCTGAAATTAATTTTGTAGCTCGCAATAGCGAACAATTAATAAATTGTTAGTTATTTAGTGTTTATTATAACCCTAAGCATATTTTTCAACTGGACAGTATTAACTAATTTGGAAATGAAAAAAGTAGGTAGGTCAAATAAAATACGATTTTAAACAAAATTTTGAATTATCCTGTAGGTAGACAAAACAATTGTTTCTTTGTCTACATTGAACTTACAAGTTGTCACCATATTTTTTTTGGAGAGAAAGAATTCATGAAAATTGCAAAGCAACTGAGATACCATGTAAGCCAAGTTTTTGAAAAATAATTTCAAAATCCTATTTAAAAATATGTTTGCATTTGCAATCTTTTTGCGTAAAACAATAATTAAAATTCGCCAGATACTTAATTTCGCAAAGTTAAGTAGTTAAGTCCATGAGAATATGAAACTAAGAAGTGTTGTCAGCGTAAGTACCACTTTGTTAGTGCAAGAGCTTTCCGAAATACAATCTATGAAGATATTATTACAAAACTTGACTTATGAATAGTTTAATGACTGAACTTTTAAGACTGCATAATTATGTCGTATTTTTTAGATAGTTAAAGTTAACGTCTCTGTAACTTAGTGGACGCCAAATATTGTGTGTATTGTGTATTAAGTATTTTTCAAGTGATAGGTACATATAGAATCTATCGTATGACCTAGCCCTATTCTAGAAGCTAATTTTTTTTAAAGAATCTTAGTAATTTATTTCTGCACAAATTACTATTTTTTTTTTTTTTTTNACAAATTACTATAATAGTCCCGTTAGTCCCTTGTACTAAGCTAAGCTTTAATTTCATAACATAATTAGGTATTACATGTTCTTAACGTTGATTTGTTACTTCAATTTAAGGTTTTGATAGGTACATTTTGTTAAATAAGACATGAATAAAATATCCTTTTAAACCCCACTTAAGAAGGCATGGCTATCACATATCAAATAAATAAAGGCTGATTACAAGAACGCAATGGGGAGTTACCCAAATCCGTTTTCATTAAACCAAAGAACAAAAACGTTTTACTGTGACACAAAACGTTTTAAGCGACACATTTGGCTTGGACATATCAAGTGGTCGAGGGAGCATGACGCCTACTTATACAGTTACCGACTTGCTCATCTGCTTACTATTCAATCGGCATGTAATATCTTCGCACGCACTCATTAGGCATGACAACATTTTGTCGTAGTTAATTGATAGGCTGTAACTTGCGTTTGCGTAACAAATACGCAACGTGCTTTTGTTTGCATAAGAAAGAAGTAACACCCGTTCGTCACAATGCAACAGTATGAAGTCTCAATAGCGCGTGGTCCAAAAATAGTTTAGGAAAATGAGGTTATGTTGAGCCATGAGACATCATGACCTACCATTGACCAACCAATTACAAGATTTAATATAATTAAATTATTTATTAACTAATATAGGCATGTATATCGAATATAAAATCAACATCTACTTATGCATAGAAATATTTATTCAGTTAGTGTTTTTAAAATAGCCTACAAAATCACAATGACTTATTGTCAACTGGAAAAATTGTAGCGACGCATAAAATCTAACTTTGCTATTTTTAAAGCTCAAAAAAAGACTAATTTATTGTGACACGTATGACATTGAAATTGCACGTCGTTTTTCTTACCAAGATTTTTTTACCAAAATGTGATTTTCTTATTGTCAAAGAAACAGGAAAGTCTTGTAGTTATACCGCATTGCTTAATATGACGTCATTGTGGTTTTCAATTCTGTTCGACGAATTAACCACAGTTACATACGTTTATGGTAATGTACTTACTTTCCGTACGTCTTTTAAGGATATCGACACCGACTAGTGACGGGAAGTGTCGCTTGATGCAAAATAAGGAGATAATTACTTGACTAGATTCAATAAGGAAGAACATTACTTACATCTATTGACTATTTTATTACGTGCATAGATGTAAACAAACATGACATGACAGTAGTTACCTCACGCAATGACGTAAGTTCCTGGTAGTGCGTGAAAATTAGGGGTGCGTATTCCCAGTTGCACTAGTTTGAAAATAGGCTACTGTATTCATTTATTTCATGCAGTCTTAACTTTACAAATTGTCAATTTTTGGCAGAAACTTAACAACACATTTTCACTTTTTTTTTTCAGATCTGTCTCCAGTGCGCTACAGCAATCGAAAAAGTAGCAGCAGCTCGGTGGAAACAAACTTTTACAATCTCAGCGACCAAATCATTATCGTCGAGAAGTCCCCGCATCGGTGCCATAGAGGCGGCGAGACTCCGGTCACCCGCCGCATATCGCTACAAAACGGGCCCACCTCACCACAGGACGGCTATAATGAAACTCGTAAAAACCGCGGAGGCTCTTTGGAAAAAGAGTATACCGTATATCGCGAAAAGCGAAACCCGTTGCTTGACAAAGTAAAGAACACCAAGCTATCATGCTTCAAGTCTAATGGGCCATTACGACACGCGGAAGATGCTGCGTCAACCTCAGGAAGTGACTGCAGCGGATTTGGCCACGTCGAGGACGCAAACCATTGCCGCTACGCGGGCAATTACTCTGAGGCTCACATAGAATTCGAAAACCAAAACCCTTGGGTAAAAATGCCAAATTATGACGACGATGTTTTCTTCGCCAAAGGCATGACTAGTCCTATTGAAAACCAATGGAGGGAAGGCAAATCGTTTACTAATCGAGGTGCGAGATGTTATAGTTCGGGCTCTGAATGCGACCGTTACCACGCAATACCTAAAGTAGGAGCTAAGCTATCAAAATCCAGTGACCAAATTTTCAATGACGACTATGAACCTTATGACGATGCACCAGTGGCAATGAAATCTCATAACATGAGCAAGACTGATAAATATAAGAATAATAAACCCGACAAAGATACTATCGGCCCCAGTTCCTGCTTATCGGCTAAATTAAGAGCAATGTCAGATCGGTATTTAAAATCGTCGACTAATAAGTTCCTTTCAAAATTATACCGACCGAATGGCGAAAACGAGGACGAAGTAAATGGAAGCAACGATAACATTTTAAAATCCAGTGGTTCTAGTAAAAGCAGGAAGAAAAGAGGTGGGGTGAAAGCAAAACTACGTAGTTTTTCTTATGGAGCTTTGCCTGGCTTGGACGAGTTCCAAAAAACAAGCACATCCGTGTTCCATGATGACGTTTACCAAGTTTCATGTGATGATGAAAACGTTTTAATTCAAGACTGTGAAGATGCTGACTCTGGAATCCTAGTCAATGAATCTGCAGCATCTTCAATTTTTGACAGTGATAGAATCTCTTCCCGATGTGAAAGTTCTGCTTCACATATTAATCCTTTAGCGCCGTGTCATGGTAGGAGCGTTTCTGGTGATCAAAGCTACCCTAAACCGAGATCATCAGGGAGGTTGAGTAGAGAAAGAATAAGTGATCATCCTAAACCAAGACCACGACATACCCAAAGAGCTTTATCGTTAGATCGCAAAGAGATACTTAGGCGTATGCCAAAGAATAATAGTAATAGTGATTACGCAGAACCACAATACTTACAACTTACTGAAAAACAAAAGATGCGGCAGAGAGATGCTAGTTTGGGAGATACGGGAATCCCGCCAATACCACCTTGCAGGAAACCATCAAGAGGAGGAAAAGCAGATAAGGGGCAGTCTGAATTTAAAGTTGTTAGAATAATGAGAAGAAATCCATCGGACGAACTGGGAATATTCATCGCTAAAACAAAACTGTCTGATGAAGGTCACGTAGGCTACTTAGTTGCTCACGTCGTTCCTGGAGGTTTAGCTGAAAAGTAAGTATTTATTTATTTATTTATTGAATTCCTATTTTTGTAACTAACAATAAATTAATCAAGTCCTAACCAAGTAAAAGCTTATCTGTGCGGTAGGTGATAAAATTCTTTACTATCGATATTTATTGTTTAGGCACAAATTCTTGTCTTATCAGACAAACATTAGCCCTTATGTTTGTGGGTCAAAATGTGACTAGTGAGACTAAACTAAAGTAAATTTTTGAATCGTTTATTTGTTTACAAAAGTAAATAGGGATTTACCTATTTTATTACGCAAGTTGAATCATGGTTGACGTAAGTTTTTGCATTTTCCAGGGAAGGCACGTTGCGCATTGGGGACGAGTTGCTCAATGTGAACGGACGCCGACTCCGGGACCTGACGATGGCTGAGGCGAAAGACGCGTTGAAATCGGGATCATCAGAAATAGACATCGTCATCTGCAGACAGCGAGAAAAATCAGTGGAGTCCAGACAGAGAAACGTCATCCTCATGCGCGAGAGTTCGGTCGACTACGAGAACGCAATAATTTTAGGAAAGGAAAAACGTGTTGATAAATATGACGTCAGGATAGACCGTCGGCGGTCGCAGGATGAGTCGGCTTGTAATCGCAGCGCGCTATCTGCGGACGAGCCGGCCGACAGCGCGGCCAACTCGCATTCACATTTCCTCAAGGGCCAGAACGCGAGTTACAGCAGCATGAATAACAAACTGCTGCGGCGGCAAGTGGTGAGCTACGGCGGGGCTAATAAAGACGGACTGGCGCTCAGTTGCGCGGGTGATATCGTGGACGTGGACGTGCCGGACTGTGCCACGGATAGGTATAAGGACAGACAGGACTGTGACAGTGATATACAAACGCCGAATGCCGCGAATTTCTGCACATTGCCAAGACGGCCGCGGGCGCCGACGCACACTTACCACACGATCACGTTTGAGAAGGGACACGGGAAGAAACCGCTGGGATTCACTATTGTTGGTGGACGTGACTCTCCCCGGGGACCGCTCGGCATCTTCATAAAAAGCATCCTACCCCAGGGGCAAGCGATCGACGATGGCAGATTAAAAGCAGGTAATTAATCACACTGTCGTAAAATAAGTTAAGCAATTACCATCCATTTATAATGACTGCAAGTCTCTAAGGAATGCCATTGATAAGAATAAAGAATAGGAAACTATTGTGTTAGTTCAACAAAGAGCTTATAATGTTGCATCGGTACCGATAAGTATCCTCGATTTGTAGCAATAATAGTCATAAAACACGATAGTAATGTTTATTTAACTGCGTCTATTTAATGTTATTTATTTACAAATAGACCTGTTTATTTGACCCTTAATACTAATAGTACACGGACATAATAACTTGTACCTAATTACTGCACCTAAATGATATTATGCACTTCAGAAACCAAGTACCTACAGGTCCAACTACTTATTTACATATTTATGTTATTTCACGCATTTATTCTAAATTCAAAACAAAAGACTTTATTTACCTCACCGACGTTCACATTCAAATTATTTGACTATGTTTATACCTATTACTTGCCTGGTACCTAATATTATTTTACCTAGTTTAGAACACCTAACAATGTCGATTCTGTCCTAGGCTCTTAATAACTCATTTAGGTATTTCAGCCAAAATTCACGCGGGCAGAGCCGCGAGTAAAGGCTAATTAACAATAAATTAGTACTAATACTGCTAATACGTAATGTCCACTAATTGACGTTTCCACATACAATTATCCTCCTGCTTAATAGAAGTTTCTCATTGAGCATTTTATGTGCAGCGTATATTGTTTCCTGTAGATAAATTTACATTCATAGAATACTGATGTTTATGATCTGTTACTAGTCAAGTTTATAGCGAAAGCAAGTGTCTAACAATGGGCGATTTTGTTACCGCATTGTCAAAACGTGGATTGCTAATTTGATGCTTGTCTCCTGGACATTAGGTTGTATTAAGCTTGGTTAATTATGAATGACGTTTACCATATTCCAGGAGACGAACTGCTGATTTGATGCTTGTATCCCAGAAATTAGGTTCCAATTGGCTTGGCTAAACATGATTGTTTACCTCCTTCCAGGAGACGAAGTGCTGGCGGTGAACGGTCAGGCGTGCCATGAGTTAGCGCATGTGGAAGCGTTACAACTCTTCAAGTCTGTGAGAAGCGGGTCTATTGAATTGAGGGTCTGCAGGAGAGTGAAGAATTCCCAGTAAGTAATGTTGATCCATCTAAGGAGATCTTACTTGGCACAAGTTTGAAGTTAATCTTTGGGAGCAGCGGTCTATGTAGGTAGATACAGCATTGGACGTCATGTGGCTGAAATGATGATGATGAGTTGAAAAATACAGAGATTTGAGGTGGATGGCTTTTGTAACATAATTAGCAGTTCTGTACCGGATTCCAATGTCAGAACTTTGTGGGTTCGAGTCCTGCTGGAGACAAGTGTAACTATTGTATAACAAAACAACTCTCAAAACTGGATTGGAATCTCAGTCACAAATACTGTACTGTGATTGGTGTAAACAATGAAGTTCAATGAATTCAACCCATCAAACTTCAAAATAAGCAATTTAATCGAATTTTGATCTTTGCTCTGTAATAGGTAAGCAATAAAGTAGCCTAAATATTTAAAGACATTCAGTATAGAAGTAGGAATTAATTGAACAAAAAAATAATCATATTTTTTTTCTTTTTCAGGTCAACCAAAGCAAAATCCTGCACAGATCTTCTGAATGACGAGGAATAACTAGCGTTAAAAAAACGATTGCATGATTTTTAAACTTGCATGAAAAAATCTTCTATTCTATTGGATGTTATTTATTTTATTTCTACTCAATCTGAACTGTTTTTATAGTTATGAAATACTTCTGAAATGATTCTATCTAGCTTTAAGATTTCCGGGACAGTATGACATTCGATATCGTGATCGTTTCGCTAAATCTATATCGAATGTCATATTGTACAGAATGCACTGATTGTCCTGTTTCTAAGTTAGTAGGTGACTAATGTAAAAAAGATTTTATAGACATGATTGTCATTTCAACAACTAGAAGATAAAACTATTGGAATATTAATTGTATAATAATCATAGTAGATAAAAAAACTTCATCAATAGCACCTAAATAGGTATTTTAATGTTAATTGTAATCAGTTATTTAGCTATTGACGTGCCATTCGAGTTAATAATATTTTTTATTTCAAAATCTTTGTGAAAATACTGAAACTGTACCTGAATTTTTCTTTTCTTCATTTTCGTTTCGCTCATTAGTCCATACTTAAACTAAAATCCCAAAGATAAGAAATAGGTGTTTTAATACTTCTAATTTATCTGCTTTACTGAGATAATGTCAGTACATTATTCCAAATATCAAGTCTTATGAGAACAGATATTTGGTAAAATTGGTATAACTCAAGTACAGTCAGCGTCAAACATTAGTTCGTGACACTCAAAATGGTAAAAAAGTTCACAACACAACCTTAATCCAATGAGGGCTATCGTTTTATACTTAACAGTTGGCACCCCTGGCGATTGACAGGACCTTACTCTACAGTAGCGCCATCTTGATAAGTGCAAATGCGATAGTCCTCCTACCACTTTAGCACTCACCAGTTGGTGCCACTGTCTGCAAGTGACAGGACCTTACTCTACAGTGGCGCAAACTGGTGAGCGCTAAAACGATAGCCCTCATTGTAACAAAGAAGTGTTGTGAACTTTTTGGATACTTCGGGTGTCACGAACAATTTGAAGCTGACTGTTCGTTAACAACTAAAATACTTTTTGTTTGGAATAGTGTATGTTGCTTATAGTTTTTCATAGTTTCTTCTACTGTAATCTGTGATAAAATAGTCGACAAAGATGAGACTGATCTTCTAATTTATTTCAAACATGGCAGGTTTTATACCTTTTAAAGTCGTGTGTTTGTGGACTATTTTAACTAAAACACTATATTTTAATCATGTTATATTTGTGTATCTAATGTACTTGTAGTATCAAACTTCAAAAGTCTGGTTTCTAGTTTCTAGGTAGTTCAGCATGATTGTGTAGCATGTTTAGGAATAGTTTATGTGCAATAAGATTTTATGATAATGCTTTAAATGTAAAAAAATATTTTAGCAATGATCTGTCTACTGTGATAGTTCTTGTTGATTCGTTGCGACTTGATAAATCAAACGGGATGATGAAAAGTTTTATAGCATGTTAAAAAATGTTTTTAATATTCCATTACTTTCATTGACTGCTTGTGAATAATTTCACTAAAATGATCATGGTATTGCTATACATTTTTTTGAAGCTTACCTATGGACGTACTTATGTTTTTTATAAATTTTCTGTAGTGCTATTTTGTTGACACATTATTCTGAGGATGTAATTGATACTTCGCAGTCTGCATGAAAATCATATTGTAAGAACTATTTACACCATTGCTTAATGACCTTTTAGACATAATAATAACCACGTTTAATCGACGAATCAAGCTTACCACTGTGGCAACTTATGTAGGTAGTTCTAATAAAAACGATTTTGCAACTAATATAATGGCGACTCTACTATCGTATTAAAAAATGTGATTTCATTGCACTGAATTGTTTTGTTAAAAGGTGTAAGTGTAGAGACATTTTTAAACCATTATTTTGTCCCAGTGATGACGATTCTCATTTTGTTATTTTTGTCTCAAATCAATGGAATTTTAAAGTAGGAATACCAACAGTAGATTAAATACAAATTAAACTCGGTTTCACGAGTAAATTGTAATAAAGTGTAAAATCAATCGTATACCTACTTGTAGTTATTTCATTTATTTTTTAGTCTGCATTGTTTTAATTATTATACATATCATAAATTTATTGTAATCCTAAGTAGGCATATTGTAATGATATCTTTAATTGTTCAAAATTAAAATATTGGGAATTAATATTTTTTATTACTGTTACATAATTAAGACCTTCACAATAAAATTCCACATAAAAGCAGCACCCCCTTCACCTGAATGATGAGTAAAATTTATAAAAATCATAAAGGACAGTGCCAGGGTCTGGACCAAGTGCTGCCCAGAATCAACCCATAGTGCATTTTGTTCCTCATGGCAATACTAATGTGTAAACCGAAGCGCACTGAAATCTATCCCTGGAGTTAAGAGAAAAAAAAGAGTTTTGTTTTATTTACATACAAAATATCATCGATATATACGTACTACGTTAAACTTAACCATACTGCATCCGTACACCTTACTTTAGTGCGACTTTCTTTATAAGCGATCTAACGCTGTTGCAATAGTTTGGTTAGTTGACAGAAATCATTATTTCCAAAATGAAGCAAAAAGTTTTAGTTCTCTATCCTTGCGAAAAATCAATTTATTGGTGTATTACAATCGATTATTGAAGTTATTGTATGCTAAAACTTCTTGCTCCATTTTGGAAATAATTAATTTCGGTCAACTAACTAAACTACTGAAACAGCGCTTGATCGCTTATAAATAATGTCGAAGTCGTACTAAAGTAAGGTGTACGGATGCAGTATGGTTAAGTTCAACATAGCGAGTGTTATTTAATGCCAAAATCGCGAAATCTTATGCGTAGTAGGTATACATCGATGATATTTTGTATGTAAATAATTCAAAACAAAACTCTTTTTTTCTCTTAACTCCAGGGATAGATTTCAGTGCGCTCTGGTTTACAAATTAGTATTGGCCTGAGGAACAAAATGCACTATAGTTTCATTCTGGGCAGCACTTGGTCCAACTTCCATACATGGATTGGCACTGTCCTTTAAACGCTTTCATGTCTGGGCACAAAATAATTATAAAAATCTGCATTTTTGACCTATAAGAATGTATACAGGTGAGTGATCAATACTATTCTTATGCAACGCCATCTGCAGATTTTGTTTAACATCAACTTGTAGCGCGATGCCAGGCAGCGCTAGATTAAAACACATTTACGTGGCCTAGAAAAGAAATAGATGGTTTCAGAAATAAATAATAGATGTCTCTAGTTGCTAGTTCTACAATCCAAAAGCACCCGTTCTCCGAAAGGCTACATTTCAAGGAATTGTTATTCTGCAAATAATGAATTATTCGCAATATCGCTCTAATTGCGACTAAGTAAATTGTTTTTCAGCAATCCAACAAAAGGTTTGAAGTAAAAAAAGTAAAAAAAGATCCTAGGATAACTTCTGCCTTGTAAAATCGAATCGAATGTAATCTCTGTTGTTTAATGTGGCTTAGCAACTATGNTAACTATGTATTAGTGTTAATATTACTTACTAGAAGTAGTAACGAAAAGGATTTAATATGATCATCATTTAAAATATACGACTAGCGACGTTCTTACCAAAATATTCTTCTCACAATCTTTATTAGTTTAGCAAACACAATGACTATTTCCCACTCACCATAAATGTTCTTATCCTGAGTAAGTATCATGATACTTTTACCTTATAAAAACGTTAATTTTATCTTCGTTTCCTCACAATTTTCCGCGAACGGCATCTGATCTGTCGCTAATGTCGGTGTGAAACTTTCACTTTTGGTATTTTCAAATGAAACAATAGAATATGGCGTGTTATACAGGGTGATGAAAATATTAGGGTACTTAAATAAGCAATATTAACGAAAGGCGATATTGATCTAATTTTCAAATATTTGAAAAATAAAGAAGCATAATTTAATTAACTTTATCATCTCTCCAATCAAATCAGCGCTCTATTTTATTGATGACGTGGGTAAAATCTTATTTGGACGATTTTAACGTGGCTCTCATTTATAGTGGTCAATTTTCATCGGCCTTTTCATCAAAAATAAATTGTATTTATCCAAATCACCCTGTATTATCTCATAGATTATTACTTCGCTGTCGCTTCAAAGGGTCGGAACTGGAATGACGGAATAGCGTGACGGCACCAACAGGTTCCTGCATTTTTGATGACTTCACCAAACAAAAAGAGTGAAAGACTTTTCTTTAGTGACTTTTTTGATTTATGATTCCGATGTTTATCATTCACTTGGGTACAAAAAACATTGCATATTCATGGAAAAGAAAGAACCAACAAAGTACAAATCTTTGTTCTTTAACTTAAACACATTAGTAACAACTCAGGCAAACAAGATACGAATAGTAAGTGAGCATACTTAAGTAGATTATGGCATCCATTGTTGTCATTCTCAGCGAGACGAACTCAGCTCCTAATTTAAATTAATTGAACTTGAGTTATTACAAAAGGTTTTGACTTCCCCAAAAAATCCAGCTAGGACGAGTAATCTCTTGGTTTTGCCCAGACTTTTAACGAATTTAAGTTTTAACAACCCACTTGGAAAATAAACTCATTAAGTTCGATATCAAACGATGCGATGGCTGCACAAAATGTCGTTAACAAGTTACTATGAAGCGGTAATATGGAAAAGGCAGGTTACCATGCGAGTACTTCTGCTAATGTAAAACACATTGCTGAGCCTTATAGATTTTCTCCAAGAAACGCCATATTATGATGAGGTATTCCATACGTCAGGGGTACAGTGAAATGGAAATATAGCAACACTGTAGCAGCTATTTTAGTAGACGATGAAAATGTACACTGCTTTTCCATTAAAACTCTACACTGCTTTTCCATTTCATCTCAAAAGAGTCAGTACTTAGGTAAGTAGTAGCAGTTTTTTACGCATGGAATGAAGCACATTTAACAACTCAAAATTGCACGACTAACTTTTGTCATACATTTATTGGTGTGTACCAATGTTACAATTGAAATAGTCTGTAAGATATCCCTTTAAATATTTGAGATGCAGAGTACTAGAGTTCTTACTCTACGTTGTCATATCGTCATTTCGATCTTATTCCGTTAGGTGATAAAAGCGCGCCTTAAATTGCTTCTGACTGTGCTTCATACCTTTAGCTTATTTACGCGGGCACGCGTGTCGCCTATCTTCTTCTAGGAAGGCTCATATCGTTACTGCTGGAGCGTTATCAGCACGTTATAATGCAATAATAGTAGGTCATATTATGGTGTCAATTCTGCCATATTCCTTACATATTAGGGTAATAAAAGCGCACCTTTTAATGCTTCTGACTGTGCTTATTTACGCGAGCACGCGTGTCGCCTATCTCCTTCTAGGAAGGCTCATCTCGTTACCGCAGGAGGTTGCATAAGCGTTATCAGCATTAAGGAGCACCGTTATAATGCGATAAGCGAATTGGTGTCAACGATCTTTGCTCATCAGGACCATGTGGGGCGTTACATCTACCACATGATTTATTATCTTTATGGGCGCAATAGATTTTATAGCTTTATACAATTTAAGTCCGCTAATATAAAGTTAACCCATTTAGACCGATAATTATTTTTGTAAATAAAAATTGATT